TATCATCCTTCACTGGTGCCTCGCCAGTGGACACGGTTAGCGAAGGCGGGGTAGCCATTCCATTATCGTCCATTAAAAAAATATACTTTATTAGTTTAGCTTCCATGTTTAATAATTCGTACTATTATAAATGTAAAAGTGAGTTTCTTTGTTTGGTCCAAGTATTTCGTCTCAAAGGCACGTATATGATTAAAACCTGATTACATTGCATTTTCTAATTATGAGAACAAAGTTATGTGTAAAAATTTTTAAATGTTTACCTTTTATTATTATTATTATTATACCAGCCGTTAACCGTCCATTGCTGAACATAGGCCTCCTCTTTAAGGAGGGTTTTGCCAGTAATTACCACGCTTGGCAGGGGGATGGACAACCGCAGTTCGGCTTTGGCGATGTTTTAAGAGGGGCGCTCCCGTTCATCCCTCAATATATGATATACCGTATATGATGTTCCATGTATATAACTAATCAGAAAAACGATATTTTCTACACAAACATTTTTATTACAATATCTTTAACGTATAAAAAAAAACGATATTTAAGGTTGTATTTTTATGGTTGTAACATTCGGAACTTCGCTCAAATCTTTCTTTTAGTGAAGAAAGTAATCGAATAAAAATTTTGTCCCGTTTTCTGGAATACTGAAATTAGGTTTATTATTTTTATTTAAGAGATATAAATTTCATGTAAATCTGTTAAAAAAATATACTTTCTCTTACAAATTTTCACCCCTGTTTTTACCCCTAAGGGACTGAATTTGGAAAAAAATCATCTTATTGCTTGTAAAGGTATTAAAGGAACCAATTGTTTAAATTTGGTATTTCTAGCTTCAGTGTAAGTAGTTTTAGCTGTACGTTGACGAGTCAGTCAGTCGGATAATGTCATTAGCAAAATGCAACAAAATATATTGGTTACTCACGCGCATAATTAGGGGCTTTCTATAACGATAGTCGATTGCCATTAGACGACCGCTAAGTGATTCACCAACGACGAGTTCGCATCACTAAATAACCACATAAGGTCGTTGATCATATCATCGCGAGAACACCAATTATGACACAGAAAGAAGTTAGGTTGATTTTTTTTATACAACTTAGAATGGCAAACAAGTTGACGGCCCACCTGATGGAAAGTAGTAACGTAGAATGGACATAACAGAGTATACTGTTTCGCCCATGCGTTGCCATTCTTGAGGACTCAGGTGTTATTCCTCTGTACCCTGTAAATTCACGCCATATCCCACCCTTCAAACCGAAACACAGCCATACAAACACAACTGTTTTACGGTTGAAACACGAATGGGACAGAGGCACCCAAGCAAGCGACTTTTGTACAAAGACTCCCTCTGATTTGCATCATCCTTCAATTTTGAATCTTACTTACGTGCCAGTAATTTTTTAAATTTTCCATTATACTTGTGAAAGCATCAAATTCGCATATTAAAAAAAATCTTGAATAAATGTGTATTTATTCAAGATCACCAATATTCACTTTAAATAAATAAATGCTGAACGTTTCTCATTAAAATAGTCAAGGCTTTTTATATTATAGTACAGATGTATAGTTAAATATATAGTTATAATTACTTATATATTTAAAATAAATGATATACAATTTCCCAAGAAATTTCTAAGGAAACTTTTAAAAGTTTCACAACATAGAGAAGATATCATGTAATATCAGAAATTGAAAGAACAAATTCCTGCTTTTAAGCTCGGTTGAAAATAATTCAAGTTTTCTATGTTAGTATACGTTTCCTTTTAAATTTAAATATTTATGTTAAAATGTAACTACGTACCTTCAGTACAATGTACATTACGCGTATACAGGTTGTTTGTCTTTATATATTTTCTTAGTATACAGCAAGATCTCAAAGGATTTAGAGATTTATCCGTTCAACATAACATGAAGTATCTCATTGTACATATTATATGTTAAATGGACTAGTTTGCAATTTTATACCTTAAACTTTTGAATTTAGAGTGGAAATTTCTTCGAAGCTCTTTACCAACATTCTCAAACACACTTAGTGTTAACTATTTTTGTTCCGCAAGGTATCCACTTCGTTTTACGAAAATGTGGTATTAAGAATTTCATGAAAATGTAACTTTTATTACATTTAATTTTGTGTAAAGAATAACTATCTAGTCTTTAGGTTCTTAGACAATGTAAGAGATGTAGACATAGTCTACAAGCGTATTGAGCATACGTTTACCATCAGATGGGTTGTATGCTTGTTTGCCGCTTTTGTGGTATAAAACAGAAAAAAAAATGAGCAATGATTGTATAAAATTATAATGACGAAAATAAAATAAATACAGCAATATTTCTCAAAAAATATTAACCTATATTACAAATCATAACAAGATTTCTTGCTTAAGAAAGTGCTTATTTTTTAAGCAAATAAATAATGGTAAAAAAGTCCAACCATCGGAAAGTGTGATTAAAATGTAAGAGAAAAATTGTTAGTTGTGGGTACTAGCGTTTCCATTAATAACTAGTTTAATTCTTTTTTGTGAGATATTTAATTTTTTTTTTTTTTATGAATTTTCCCTTTATTTGCCAAATTGCCAAATTTCATGATTCTAGGTCAACAGAGAGTGCCCTATAGGTTTTGATTCCTTTTGCGAATGTCAAAATATGCGATAAAGTGGGATATAGAGAATAATATCTTTAAATTGCGTAGATTTAGAAGTCTGATTTTTGCTATTTTAATAGATTGCAGACCTAAATATAAGATATTAATTTCAAGTTGATATCTTCACGCATTCCTAAGAAAAAAGGTCTTGACAAACAGATGGACGGACAACGAAGTGATCCTATAAGAATTACATTTTTCCTTTGACCTCCAAAGGAAAAAACGAAACGGAGGTACGGAACTCTAAAACTGACAGAAAGTAGCAATCATCGCCTATCGACATTACAGAATACGCTGTGAATACTATATATATATATATATATATATATATATATATATATATATATATATATATATATATATATATATATACACACACACACACACACATATATATATATATAACTCACTCACTTTTTAATAATAAACATATGCATACACATTTTTATAGTGCGTGAATAAGTATTGTACAATAGTATATATGTTACTTGTAACGTCAAGAAATAGCGCGCCTTTTGTTAAAAAAAAAAAGAATTGCCCGCCAAAAATTGTTTGACTGTATTTTGATATTTTATTTTAACAATTTCTGCTTTTTACTGTAGATAAAGAGCCCCTTTAGGTTAGATTCAAGTTGTTAAGGTTTACAATTCATCATTGATGCATACGTTTCCATAAATTATTTACAGGCTGTATCCAGCGGTTTCGCCCTTGGTCGTACCGTGACGTTAAATAATCTTTAATCTTCTTTGAAAGGCAAACTATCAAATGCAAAAAAATTGTTCATATCTGACTGACTAGGTTAGCGCGTCCAAACAAATATACAAGCATATTCATAACTCTTTCTTTGTCGTCGTCATAGAATAGGATCCTTTCCTTTCCCGTGGGTGTCGTAAGAGGCGACTAAGGAAGAGCGAGGAATGGGCAACAGATTTTTCCTCTTAAAAAATCTCCTGCCAAGCGTGGCGACTACTGGCAAAACCCCCAAGAGGGAGTCTTATGTTCACCAGTGGCCAGTTAAAAGCTTATTACTATGAAGTATACACATACTATATGGCATGGAGAATTCTATAGGCTACTTTTTATTCCGGTCAGTAAATATATCCCGATCACGCGAACAAAGTTGCGAGTAAAAGCTAGTAAAATATATATATCGTGAGGTCCCGGTATAGAATGAGACACCCATTCCTTTGCCGACGGTGTCGTAAGAGGCAACTAAGAGAACTTAAAAGTCGAGTGATGGACAGCAGCGTTCTTCATAAAAAGTCACCAAATCCTAACTGCGGTTGTAAATCCGCCAGCTAAGCGTAGCAGTTATTGGCAAATATCCCTTATGGAAGAGGCCTATATTCAGTAGTGGACAGTTAACGGCTGATGTAGTATAGCGGCTAATAAATTTGTTTGAACTTATTAAACTTTATTAAAAGCAAAATGTCGTATAAAAATAAAGATAATGAAAAAAAAAAATATGTATGATATTATTCCAGTCCTCAAACTTACACTTTAGTTATACAAGATACCTTTAGTTACTATGAATTAAATAATAATTTTTTTTAATAAAAATCTAAACAGCCAGATCGTAGTTAATTCAGAAAAGCAAGTACTTACATAGTTTTTTTTTTATGGACGATCAATAATATCGTAATTATTTTAATCGTATTTAAAAATTATTATTTTTATATATTTTCTATATATTATTTTTAAATATAAATGACTGTAATTTTAAGAAAATGTAAAGGGTGGCATCCTTCTCGTTTCTAATTACTGCTCCTGACAGGGTCTACGATGTACTTTATTGATTTTTAAGCTCTTTGTTGATACTTTAAAATACAACGAAGGAATTAATTTAAAAAATTGCCCAGTATGTAGAACATTTTATTCTATGAAAAATCTATATATATATATAAGTCTTCTATTCAATAAAATTAAATAATTGTAACAATAGCAGAGAATAAATCGGTATTGTAATGACTTGCATTAATGTTAAAAAAGAAATAATAATATATAATAGTAAATTATAAATTATTTTCCGTCTAATCAGTCTATCGCACGAAGGCTTTTAAAAGTTTTAAACAAATATTTTTATTCTACATAAAAATGAAAATAAAAGGAAATCCAAGAATTGTAAAATTTTTAACTGTTGTAAAAAATGATACAGCGGTGGAACACGTTTCAAAAATAAAATAAGAAAACAAAAACAAAAACTGTAAAGTTTTAACTAGTGCAAAAAATATTACGTATCGCACATCGCCAGCGAATAGTGGGAGTATCGAAACGAGTATAAATAAAATTCGCTACGTTAGCGTAAAACTTTCGCGAATATGCGGAGCAGAACAGTTTTTATATTGGAAACTTAAAAAGTTACCTTGAAACAGATGAAGAGAGAAAATGGCATTGTCACAATCACCAGGATCCATGATAACACCACGAGAATCTTTCCGCATGTCTTGGACTCGGAGTCCACTTCTTCGTTCGCTAGAAAGAAAAAGAAAAGTTTAAATATATTTTATACATTAGAAATTAAAATATATAAATTATGGTATTACTTGATGTAATAGTAGGATAAAGATGCTGGCGGCTAGACATTTCTAGCATCATACTACAGTAATCGAGTTTGTATAATAAAAATATTATTCACAGCTAATTACACTGCGCGTAACACTCCGAGGGCACTTATTTACTGGCGTCCACCCCACATGTGCCGGTGGCCCTGGCGGTATTAAAAATTTACGTGGGAAACTAAAAAGGTGGCAACACAGAGTCTTTGTACGTGTATCAAAAGCCGCTATTAGAATTAGGAACGCGGTTTGTTTTTCTTTATTTATTATTACCTGATGTTTCAGCGACGACCATAGTGGTGGAATCGGAATATCGCGCCAGGGTTGCGGCTAAAGCGTCCGTTCGGGGCAAAAGTTTGGGGGCGACTGATGTTGGCGCTATGTTTGTAGTCGGAGGCTGGAGTTTCACATGCAAAATTAAACTGAAATTAACAGTAGTTCTATTACTATTTATCTTGTTCAAATTAGACCAATTTTTTCCTTTTGGTAGTATATTAATTGTCTCCAAAAAATATCAACATTATATAATAAAAAAATAATTGGAGTGGAAGGTACGAAGTGATAAATTGAAGTATACACTCGAGAATGAGAAAACATATAACTACATTAAATTTATTATGTAAGATTGTTTAATAACATATTTTATGACTTATATTTGGTGGCTATTGAATTAATGTTAACATTTTCTATGCAGATACGACATCGAACTACTGTTTGTTAATTGTAGCATGGCAATATAGACAAAGGGAGGCATTGCAAACCCGAGTTGACCTTTTCATAAGGATTTGGCTTAGGGTCAGTTCACAATGAAATAAGCTCCTGATAAGTGGACGAATGTAAAAGTCACTAATAATATACAAATAGTATTAAGTATTTATTATAAACTCATATTTATTCTATAGGTTGTGTTATTTTCTTTTAGCTTCATAAAGTTTCTCATGATTGTTGAATTTTTGGATACTAACTTTTTTCTATCTTTATATCTAATTGTTAGATTTAAATGAATAATAATATAATGTATTAGCGATCCGACCCGACTTCGCAGTTAAGTACAGAGAAGTTTTCATATTTATCTAATATAAATAAACAACATGGTTACTTGTGTTTCTGGCTTTAAGCAGTTCTTATGTTGCTGTATAGGCTTTGTAGCCAACTTCTACGCGCTTCCTTTTCAATGTGATTTGATCCTTACAAGGGGCGTGCGTACATAACATTTCTTGTATATACAAGACAATTTCATCAAAAATTAAGTTATTACGTAATAGTTATATTGGTAGTTATGTATGTATCTCAAAGATATTAATAAATCTCAAATTAAGTAAACAAGTCGCCATCTCTAATAAAAATGTAGGGAAAATAACAGAGAATTATATATAGAAATTATATACGCAGAAATAATAGGAAAATTAAACTAGGTATTTTATTTATGCCTTGATTAATTCTGTATTTGTAATATAAACAAACCCATTTTCAATTAGTTCATTTGGTTTTATGCAAACAAAGGTAACTTTGAACGGTTGTAACATATAGCGGGATTTGCAAATAACTAATTAATAAAATTGACTTCAAAAAGGGCATAGATTATTATTGACTAGGCAGGTATTTCTATGTAAATACTAGCTGTAGGCCCTGGCTTTGCACGGATGTACTAATGAAGAAAATGGGAACTTTTTTTACAGTTACTGTCTTCTGCTCGCCCACTCGCTCAGTTTTTTATGTATAGATTTTTTAATCTCAATTTTTTACTTTTCCGTATGATTTTTAAAACATTTTCTTTCATACAAGCTTTATCATGACAATTACAATTACAACAAATAAAGATTAGTTAAATAAATGCAGCCATTTTGCAGTATTGGAACGTACATTTATTCGGCAACTGATTTTTTATTATATACGTATATAATATTATTTTATCTCTCCCATAGACAGCCATAAGGAACTAGATTGGGAGAAAATGATTTCAGGGTTCTTAATAAGAGAATTAGATACCAAAACAATACTTTTTAGTAATGTAGTTTGTCTTTTTCTTTGTTTCGCCATCAAATCAAATTAGATGCAACTTAGATGCCTATTTTACAGTTGTATTCTAGAATTCTAACTTTAAATCTAGTTTATGTTTTATATTATTACACTATCTAAAAGTGGTTTACGTTGTTAGTATTCCTACTTTTGAAATCCACATGTATGAAGCAAGTAAATAGCAAGTTAGGTATATAAGTTTTATCAACATACTATGTCCTTTCTCATGCAAAGGTGAAAAGATTGTTACTAAGTTACTAGCGACCTCAACTCGTAATTGTAATATATCTTTTTAGGTCCACCTGCACACGGCCCCTCCTGGAAACTGACGAGGTTAATTCCTGGAAAATTAATTACAATGGATCAACTGACCTGCTTTCATCCTTACCTATCATCCCTCACTGGAGCCCGCCAACTTATACCGATAACACTGATGGGGTTACCGTTAAACTAGTATTGTAAAGTGGAAATGTTTGATTTCTTTATAGATATATGTATACATACATATACCTCTGTCCCATTCGTGTTTCTACCACGAAGCAGTTGTGTTTGCATGGCTGTGTTTCGGTTTGAAGGGTGGGATATGGCGTGAATTTACTGGGTACAGAGGAATAACACCTGAATCCTCAGGATTAGCAACGCATGAGGGGTATCATGGGCGAAACAGTATACTCTGTTATATCCATGGTACTGCTTATGTCTATAGGCGACCGTTACCACTTTCCACTAGGTGGGCCGTCAGTTTGTTTGCCACTCTATGTTGTATAAAAAAATATATTTTATTGTACCGTTTATAAAAATAATAAATAAATTTAATTTTAATGAGAAGTGATCCAGAAGGCGGATTTATCACTAAGCAAACTCTTCCAGATAATCTTTGGGTAGAGAAAAAAGACAGGGTAGATGGCGCACTATTACATGGATACTAATATATACAAACATATATACATAAACATACACATGAATTATGTATATTGATGAATTAATATATCATAAAAAATGGAAAGGATGTAATCCATTATTTAAAAAAATATTTAACAAACTTTAAGAATTCTTACATGTATAGAAACCTTCATTATCAATGAATAATATTGGATGTATTTAATTTACAGAAAACCCGTGTGAAACTGGGGCGTTTTGGTAGTATCTAGGTAAGAAGAATTCAGGTATTATTATACATACAAGTACTTATTCAATACAAGCAGAAGCTGCAGATTATTAATTTCTGTGATGTATTCTTGTCTTTGCAGCTGTTCCTGGACTACTAGCGAGTATTTCTAGACTTTAAATATTCGGAAAACAATTGGAATTCAAAAGAATAGAATTTAATACAAGCCCGTCATTTATAATAGTATTATAGAAGTACTTATAATTGTGTACTGCACTTTCTTCCAAGCACAATACGCTTTGGAATCAACTACCAGCAGCAGTATTTCCGCACCGATACGATATCATAACCTTCAAGAAAAGAGCATATTCCTTTTTAAATACACCTGCAATGTTTTTGGTGTTGGGAGTGATCATGGGCGGCGGTAGTCACCTACAATTAGGTGTGCCGCATGCTCGTTTGCCCCCTGTGTTCTAAAAAAAATTAAAGTCACAGACTATCATATATTTATTTATTTATTTTATTATTGCATCTCTTATAAAGATAAATACAGTAGATGATTAATGCGAAATTAAATAATAAATAGAAGGACTACTGTTTATCTCGGTTAGAATATTTTTCGATACTCCGGTGGTCATGTGGGTGGAATCTTAGGTGAAAACCAATCTACACTAATATTGTGAAGAAGAAGGATTTGATTGATTGTTTGTTATAGATATACATAAGAACTTGTGAACCGATTTTAAAATTAAATAATAAAATTGTTAATTTAATATTTTCACCTGTAGGAAGTTCCATTATTAGCAAGTAATTTTGGTTATATAATAAAAAAATATCTTAAATATAACACATAATAAATAAATACCATCAGACATATATATAATTAAGCAAAACTTGTATTGTAGGTATTAAGCATTGACAGATACACTTAAATACTTTTTTTTGTAAATACATATTATATACATACACATGCACACATCTTCAGAAATATTTATGAATAAGAATTGATGTACTGTGCGCGGATCGAACCTGCAACCGTCAGAAGGTTAATAAATCGTTAATAAATAAATTTACCCTGTTATGTGAAATATATGTAGGGTAAATGTATTTTACTTTTATATTATATTTAATGTGAGTAATTCGTTGCCAATGCCGGAAATAAAGCAATTTACGACCGAGAAACATTGGTAGGATAAGACGAAGTCATGTAATTTTAAAAGGACGAGGCAACATTCGAATCTGTTTTGAATAAACAAGAACGGCTTCGTCGTTAATGGTAATTATTTATTTATTTATTTCATACATCTTATTATAATACAGTTGTTAAATCGAATGCCATTATGCAGAAACCCTTTGGGTTTATCTCACAAAGAAGAATCGCTCTTAAATAACTTTCTTTATATAATATTCGTAGATGGGTACATATAAACAATATTTCCAATTTTTCCTATATATATGACATATAAGTGTAGTGATTTATAAAAGAACTTATTCAAAAAAGATACATTATCAATTAATATCAACCACGACGACTAAGGGAACTTAACGGTCGAGGGATTGGCAGCAGTGTCTTAAAATATCACCAAAGTCTAACTGCGATTGCCAGTATGCCTAACAAGCTTGGCAATTACTGGCAAACCCCCATCTCATTGGAGATGCCCATCAGCAGTGCGAATATTAACGGTTGTTATAGTGATCTGATGATGACCGCATTTTAAACATTTAAACAACGACAATTATAGTTATTATCAGTCCATCAGTTCCTATTATTGTCCTGTAAAGATTAAAAAGAAAATAAAACAGTCCAGCAATTTCTAACCTTGCCAAGTTGGGGACTGTTGGTGATGTAATTTCCAACATTCATTCGTAAAAGATCAGAAACAGAAGTACATAGATACTGTTCTGACATTAACACAAGTTGCGTTAGAATAATGAAGTAATTAATGAGATCAAATGAAAAAGTTACGTATATATTTTATTTTATTTTATTTTATTTTATTTGACAATAAACACAAAGTTACAAAAACAAGATACAATGGGCGCCACACTAGGCGAACCTGTATCGTGGGCACCCGATAAAGATTAACAAATCACAAATGTGTTGTAATAAAAAGTACATAGTGGGCGGGTATTAATATAAAAAGGAATATAAAATTGAAATAGTGAAAAAAGTAATAAAATCAACAATATAGATACAGAATCAATTATTAAACACTAATAATATAAGCCTTATTATTAGGAACGATTTTGTATAGTAAATTATTGTTCAAATGTGTTGTCTGTTGATATTTTCAATCAATTTCAAAGAGAAGAATGTTCTCAATTCGATTGTCTTTTTTAATGTTTGTTATCTTAACCTTTTGTTAGTTGTAAACCGATTTAAAAA